ATCAAGACAGCACAGGAGGAGTGAGGTACCTGCTTGGAGGAGTGGCCATGAGTCATCCATCCTAGTATTACATACGGAACCATAAAACCTAGAATATAATTGAGCGACGAGGCCAAGCACTCATTTGGACCATGTCAGGCCCAGATAGGCATTGGTTCCTTTCGAGAGTTTGTTCATTACATCATAACGTAAACAGACCAGGTCTAAGACAGCGACAAACCCGTTACGCTTATCCTCGCAATGCTTTTGATAGACCCTACAGAAACTCCTAAACCAGACACAATCTTTGCCGCAGGGGAACTTCCTAATTTTGTCAGTCGCGTTAACTCCTGTCCAAAATTAACAAACTGAGCGATCTGTGGGATTACTCCCCAAATCCACACTGGAGTCTCGATTCAAAATAGATGATGGTCTCTTATTGGAAAGGGGGACAATCGTGCTACCCCCTGCGAGAAGCTCGAACTCTGAAAACTGGGATACTGAGTGTCCCCGACCCCATAATTGCTACACGGACCACTTATTATAGTGTTCCCAACCCGAGATAATGCACAGAAATCACCAATGCACATAAATTGTTTGGCCGTGAGTACTGGGCCCAAGTGAACAGCGCGAAGCTATACGTGACAGACCAGTGCCCATCAGCAATAGGAAAGTAACGACCACCTGGAGTCATTGCCAAATGGTAGCCTGCTGTGAGACCTTTTGCGCAGTGACGCCGACAGAACTCGTGGAGATAATGATATCCATAAGATTTTAAAAGTATGTGTAACTACCACGCCCTCACTTCTGATCATACACTGCAGATTTTCCGTTCAGTGGTGGTAGATCGCGCCTGTCTAAGATGGCCGCATTTTCCTTCCCACTGCGAAGAATAAACTGCCTTCCCGCACCAGGAGACTGCGCGGGATTTTTATTAAGGAGGTGGTATAGGCGTTTCAATGGAGTGCCTAAAAATATTCGCCTCAGGTCGCGAGAGTATCGGTTATTAACCCTCGACCACGAAGTTTATGGACGTGAGTCATCAAATGTGAGATTCTCTGTGAAATCAAACTATATCTTTTCCTCCACCATAATCACATCAAACCACCCACATACCGAAATGGGCAGGTCCTGAAACAAAACCAACCAAACTCTGGAGACAATACCTCAGGTGCCTACAACCATCCGTTTCTCACAGAAATGTGACTGGGCTGGCACTTCTGCCGTTTGGCTAGAAGTTCCGCTTTATAACAAGTGCGAGTCCCACTACTCCGCCCACACAATGCAATCCCCGTTTTTATCACACCAACTATTGGTTCCACCCTACCTTCCTGCCTGAGCCTAATTCCAAAAAATTTTGGTATTCCAGGCTGCTCAAGTAATACTCTGAGAACGTTCTTTGCAGTCCAATTAACAAAGGTTATTACAAGTAGGCAGTGGCCCAAAAGCTCAGGAGGAATAATAAAAAAGGCCTTTGTGATAGAGAGTAAGAAGAGGTGATGATTGAACTTGCACCCGAGGAGATCAAGTCATGGGATTGGCAACAAACCAACCTGAAGTTGGACATGCCCATGGTACGAAACAATTGGCACCCAAATGTCGTGGGCCCATCCAAGTGAAACATCAGATTAAAGGGAAAAAGTTGGCCCTATGAATTATCTCTGTTTCTTTTTTCGATTTCAATCATACATTTTGTTCCATGTTATATCCTGTTAAAACCTACAGCAAACCGGATCCTTTCCGCAACCGAAGGGTTTAAGGAACCCCCAAAGGCCCTAAGGGCTTTTATGAGAAGAAGAAAATTTTAGGTTTTAGGTGAACTTTGACTGCAGGAAGAGAAAGGTCAACGCCCGTTTTCCCCATTAAATTGGGAAAAGGGTTTTGCCCAGAAGAAAAAATTTGTGGACCAGCGCAAAATGTCCATGCCCCCTAGTTAATTCAAGAATTTTTTCCCCAACCACCACAAAAGAGGAGTCATTTTGGCACCTTTGGGGGCCCGCCCCTAAGGGGGGGGGGGGGAATGTAGGGGAACAAGAAGATCAAACGGGCGGGGGCACAAAACTGCCCATTCGTAAGGGTCCCGACAAGAAAATACAGGCGGGGGGGGGGGCACAGGGCCCAGGGGTGCCGTTTGGGGGCCGGGCGGGCCCATTTAAAACCAGCTCCCTTTCAATGCCCCACATTTCCGTATGGCTTTTTTCCCGTTTTTTCTGTTTCCTGAGATTTTCCCCTTTTTGCCGCCTAAACCTTGGAAACCCCGATTCTGTTTTACTTGACCGTCCCTGCCCTGACCACTGGCTCCTCTTACTTTTTCTTCTGCCTGTTTCCCCGATGATCTGACCTCCCCGCTGCGAACCTGGGCCTTTGACCCGATTACTCTCTCTTACTTTCTCTCTAAACCGGGTTTTCCTCCACGTTTCCGACCCGGCCCCCCCCCGGGTTAGACTTTCCCCTCCCGGGGAACCCCCGGGTTGGATCTCTAAGTCACTGCCAGTCCCTTTCCTGACAGTGGGATAAGAACGCCATGTTTTAATAAAATAAGGGGGGTATGATCGCCCTGTTAAATACATAAGGGGGGATATGATCTCCAAGTTTTAATACCCTAAGGGGGGGGGATATGATCTCCATGTATAATACATAAGGGGGGATATGATCTCCATGTATAATACATAAGGGGGGATATGATCTCCATGTATAATACATAAGGGGGATATGATCTCCATGTATAATACATAAGGGGGATATGATTCCATGTATAATACAAAATGTGGATATGATCTCCATGTATAATACATAAGGGGGGATATGATCTTCCATGTGTAATACATAAGTGGGGGGGGATATGATCCATGTGAATAATACATAAGGGTTATAATGATCCGCCATGTATAATTCAAAAGTGGGGGATATGATCCCAAAGTATAATACATAAGGGGGATATGATCTCCATGTATAATGCATAATGGGGATAATGATCACCCAAGTATAAGATACATAATGGGGATTAAGATCTCCATGTATAATACAATAAGGTGGATAGATCTCCATGTTTATAAGACATAAGGGGTGGATATGAACACCATGTATAATACATAAGGGGGATAATGATCTCCATAGTATAATACATAAGGGGGTATATGATCTCCATGTATAGGGGGTTTGGTTACATAAGGGGATATGATCTCCATGTTTAATACATAAAGGGTGGGGGATATGATTCTCACAAGTAAAAATACGATCAGGTGTGTATATGATCGCCATGTATAATACATAAGGGGGGATATGATCTCCATATAAGATACATAAGGAGGGATACATCCAAGGGGGGGGGGGATTATGATCTCCATGTATAATACATAAGGGGGGATATGATCTCCATGTATAATACATAAGGGGGGATATGATCTCCATGATAATACATGAAGGGGGAGGGATATGATCTCCATGTATAATACATAAGGTGTGATCTGATCTCCATGTAATAAATACATAAGGGATGATATGATCCATGTAATAATTCCATGTATAAATACATAAGGGGGGGATATGATCCTCCATGTATCAGTACATAAGGGTGGGGATATATCTCCATGAATACCATGGGGATCTGAAATACATAAGGGGGATATGAATCTCCATAAGGAGGGTATAATACATAAGGGGGGATATTGATCTCCATGTATAATACATAAGGATCATTATCTCCATGGGGGGATATGATCTCCATTATAATACATAAGGGGGGATTATGATCTCCAGTGTATAATACATAAGGGGGGATACATCTCCAGATAATGATCATAAGGGGGGATAATGATCGCCATGTACAAATACATAAGGGGGGATATGATCTCCATGTATAATACATAAGGGGGATATATGATCTCCATGTAAAATACATAAGGGGGATCTCCATATGATCTCCATAGTATAATACATAAGGGGGGATGATGATCTCCATGTATAATACCATAAGGGGGATATGATCTCCATGTATAATACATAAAGGGGGATATATCTCCAAGAAGGGGGGGATATGATCTCCACGTATAATACATAAGGGGGGGATATGATCTCCATGTATAATACATAAGGGGGGGATATGGGGGGTATATGATCCCATGTATAATACATAAGGGGGGATATGATATAATCTCATGTATAATACATAAGGGGGGATATGATCTCCATGTATAATTACATAAGGGGGATATGATCTCCATGTATAATACATAAGGGGGGATATGATCTCCATGTATAATACATAAGGGGGATATGATATCTCCCATGTATAATACATAAGGGGGATATGATCTCCATGTAAAATACATAATATGATCTCCATATAATACAAATAAGGATGATCTCCGTGTATAATACATAAGGGGGGGAGATATGATCTCCATGTATAATACATAAGGGGGGGATATGATCTCCATATAATACATAAGGGGGGGATATGATCTCCATGTATAATACATATATGATCATAAGGGGGGATATGATCTCCATGTATAATACATAAGGGGGATATGATCTCCATGTATAATACATAAGGGGGGATATGATCTCCATGTATAATACATAAGGGGGGGGGTATGATCTCCATGTATAATACATAAGGGGGGATATGAATCTCCATGTATAATACATAAGGGGGATATGATCACCATGTATAATACATCAGTGGTTCATATAGTGAACTCTGTGTAGTTATCCCCCCTGAGGTCATCACAGAGGACAAGGGGGGCGCTCTTTACGTCTGGAGGAAAAGAAATGTAATCTCCAAAACGGAAAGGTTTCTTCACAGTAAGAGCTGTGAGAATGTGGAACAGACTCCCTCAGGAGTTGGGTGTGGCCAGCTCAGTGGATTGCTGTAGGAAAGTCCTGGATTCTTTCTTGGATACACAGAATATAACTGGATATAACATTTATAGGGAAAGTTGATCCAGGGAATATCCGATTGCCTCTCGGGGGATCAGGGAGGAATGTTTTTCCCAGCAGGAGCAAATTGGATCGTGCTTTGCTGGGTTTTTTTTGCCTTCCTCTGGACCAACTGTGGGTGTAGGATTATAGCTTATTTTTTTCTATGGTTGAACTGGATGGACTTTTGTCGTTTTTCAGCCAGACTAACTATGTAACTATATGTCCACAGTGTCTGGTCATCTCCTGTACTGTGTCCGCAGTCTCTGGTCATCTCCTGTACTGTGTCCGCAGTCTCTGGTCATCTCCTGTACTGTCTCTGCAGTCTCTGGTCATCCCCTGTACTGTGTCCGCAGTCTCTGGTCATCTCCTGTACTGTGTCCGCAGTCTCTGGTCATCTCCTGTACCGTGTCTGCAGTCTCTGGTCACCTCCTGTACTGTGTCCGCAGTCTCTGGTCATCTCCTGTACTATGTCCGCAGTCTCTGGTCATCTCCTGTACTATGTCCGCAGTCTCTGGTCATCCCCTGTACTGTGTCCGCAGTCTCTGGTCATCTCCTGCACTGTGTCCGCAGTCTCTGGTCATCTCCTGTACTGTGTCCGCAGTCTCTGGTCATCCCCTGTACTGTGTCCGCAGTCTCTGGTCATCTCCTGTACTGTGTCCGCAGTCTCTGGTCATCTCCTGTACTGTGTCCGCAGTCTCTGGTCATCCCCTGTACTATGTCCGCAGTCTCTGGTCATATCCTGTACTGTGTCCGCAGTCTCTGGTCATCTCCTGTACTGTGTCTGCAGTCTCTGGTCATCTCCTGTACTATGTCCGCAGTCTCTGGTCATCTCCTGTACTGTGTCCGCAGTCTCTGGTCATCTCCTGTACTGTGTCCGCAGTCTCTGGTCATCCCCTGTACTGTGTCCGCAGTCTCTGGTCATCTCCTGTACTGTGTCCGCAGTCTCTGGTCATCTCCTGTACTGTGTCCGCAGTCTCTGGTCATCTCCTGTACTGTGTCCGCAGTCTCTGGTCATCTCCTGTACTGTGTCCGCAGTCTCTGGTCATCTCCTGTACTGTGTCCGCAGTCTCTGGTCATCTCCTGTACTGTGTCCGCAGTCTCTGGTCATCTCCTGTACTGTGTCCGCAGTCTCTGGTCATCCCCTGTACTGTGTCCGCAGTCTCTGGTCATCTCCTGTACTGTGTCCATTGGTTCAAAATAATTTTTTTTTTTTCTCATTTTCCTACTCGAAAATCTAGGTGTGTCTTATAGAGCGAAAAATACGGTAATTGAAACTGTTAATCTAGCGAATCCGTCTGAATCAAAGCAAATTTTTTTTCGTTCTGTCCATATCTATACGATCTGGTACAGCTGTGCAGTTTCTAACTTCATCTTGCTCAATTAAGCTTTGACATTGAGCCCGGGTGCACATACATGCGGTGCGGTATATTGCATGTGATTTGCGCAGGAACCGCACTGCATTCCTGTGCAAATCACATGCGATTTATGTGCGGTGCGTTCTGAGCTGTACATTTTGTATGGCTTTAATCGCACCACACCAAAAAGGTGCAGGACCCTTTTTTTGGTCCACACTAGAATCGGATTGCATGGGTATTCACACCTTAGTGATCGAATTCTGCACATCGCACTGCATTTTCGGGGTATTGTTAACTTAACATGCACCCCCGCAGCGGTTCGCATGAACGGAGTGCGATTCTGATGTGGTGCGTTATTCACACAGAAAACGCTGCAAATTCCGCACCGCATCGGTGTGAACCAGTTTTAGTCAATACCCCCCGCAGTCACGGACTTTCCAGCTCTGGGGTCATTTACTCACACAGCCACAGGATCATCAGTTGCCTCCTTACAATATTCACCAGGCCCTTGTGAGGGAGATATAGAGTGACACCACCATAGGACAGCTGGACTCTCCCACCAGACTGAAACTGACTCCAAGTCTAAATGTGGAAATACACTCTCCAACTAAGGCTTAGCTGGGGCCCCAATGTCTTCCTAATGGCACCTCCAGCACTGCTTCCCCAGGGTCACAGCCCCCTGCACAGGGGTCTTCTCCAGCAATACTGGACCCAGGAATTCCCCCCACCTGGGGTCTCACGCTATTTATGGGCTCTCCAACCACCTACTGGGCACACCCCCCTAGGGATTGGCTGGAGTTCCATAAATATTCAGGCTGTTCTTGTGAAACACTGAGCAGGTCTGAACAATCAACCTCTGCTCCACTGATTACAGAGGAGGTAGACATTTATCTACCAGCCCAGACTACTCTAGGGCGCTCCCCCTATGTATTGAGTTGCTCTACTCAGTGCAGGCCAAGGTGATGCTTTCCTGTTTGATCTTCTCATTGTTATTTGTTGGATTGTTTTTATTTGTTTTATTGCTTTTCAATTTTGTTTGCTTAGGCTCCATCCACACTCCGCTGTGACTTTGATGCGACTTTGGATGGGTGTGATTTGGATGTGACTTTGGCTGTTGACGTTTGCTTTGACTGTTACACAACTTTCACACTGATAAAATTAAGATGCAAACTTTCATCCGACTTTTAGAGTTTACATTGCAGTCTATGGTACTCAAGTCGCATGAAAGTTGCATCAAAGTAGTGCAGGAATCTTTTTAAAGTTGCTGTGACTTGAAGTTACATAGATTTGAACGGCTTCCATTGAAATACGTGGGCTGTGACTTGTCATACGACTTCATGTGTCAGGCGTGAATGGAGCCTTAGTTCAACATTTTGGAATGGTTTCTGATATTTGAACCCCCTATCTGGGATCAGAACCAGACCTCTGTCCTTTCTCACTCTTTTTATTTCTCTGTCACGCCTGATTTTTTTATTTTATTTTTTTTGATGCCTGAAAAGGCTTCTATACATTGTAGCTCTATACATTATTATTATTATACAGTATTTATATAGCGCCAAAGGGTTTTCTCAGCGCTGTACAGTAGCAAGGGGGACAGAACATGAGACAAGACAGAAACAATACAATACACGAGGGAATCGAGGGCCCTGATCCTGGGAGCTTACAATCTAGGAGGGAGGGGGTAGTGGTACAGGAGGAAGTTGTTGCTGGGGATGGAGTGGTAGGAGGAGTGGAGGTCAGATGTTAGGTGAGGGTGGGGTAGGCTTCCCTGAAGAGGTGGGTCTTCAGGGTGCGTCTGAAGGTGAGGAGGGTAGGTGACAGTCTGATGGATTGGGGTAGGGAATTCCAGAGGATGGGGGAAGTCCTGGAGAAATCCTGCAATCGGGTGTGGGAGGAGAAGACCAGGGAGCTAGAGAGTAGGAGGTCCTGTGAGGAGCTAAGGGCAGGGGTAGGGTGGTATTTGGGTATCAGGTCGGTTATGTAGTTTGGGGCGGCGTTGTGAATGACATTGTACTTCTATACATTGTAGCTCTGTACGTTTTTAGTTCTATACATTGTAGCTATATACATTGTAGTTCTTCCATTGTAGTTCTATACATTGTAGTTCTATACATTATACTTCTATATATCTCCTAGATTGTAAGCTCAAAAGAGTAGGGCCCTCTAACCCCCGTGTGCTGTTTGTTGTTGCTGTACTGTGCCATGTATTGTCCCCCCCTCTATTGTACAGCGCTGAGCAAACCCTTTGGTGCTATATAAACTCGATGTAATAATAATAATAATAATAATAATAATTGTAGCTCTATACATTGTAGTTCTATACTTTGCAGCTCTATACATTGTAGATTTATATGTTGCAGCTTACATTGAAGTTTTATACACTGTAGCTCTATACATTGTACTTTATAGATAGTAGTTCTATACATTGTACTTTTATAGATAGTAGCTCTATACATTGTAGTTTTTATAGATAGTAGCTCTATACATTGTAGTTTTACATTTGCAGTTCTATACATTGCAGCTCTATACATTGTAGTTTTATAGATAGTAGCTCTATACATTGTTGTTGCATACATTGTAGTTCTGTACATTGTAGCTCTATACATTGTAGTTCTGTACATTGCAGCTCTATACATTGTAGTTCTATAGATAGTAGCTCTATACATTGTAGTTTCTATAGATAGTAGCTCTATACATTGTTGTTGCATACATTGTAGTTCTGTACATTGTAGCTCTATACATTGTGGTCTCCCATGGCTGTGATTGGACGGTTGTCTCTAATAAAAGATGAATCCGGACTCTTTTCAGCATCTACAAGGAAACAGGCGGACCTGACAGATCCCAGAGAAAGGTAAAGATCTCACTCTCCCATTTTTTATGTTACTTTGTGGAATATTCTATAGACTGTCACTTGTACCCATTGAAGTATTCCTGCTTTACCTGCCTTGTGCCGTGTATCAGAATATCATTCACTGTGTCTTCTGGGTTACTGCTCTGTATTTGCTGCATACAAAATATCAGGATCTGAAGATATTTCTTTGTATTTATTATTTATTTATCACAGGTATTTATATCACACAGCGCTTTACACATTATTATTATACCGGATTTGTACCCAATCAGCCACAACATTATGAGCGCCCACCTAGTATTGAGTAGGTCCCCCTATTGCTGCCAAAACAGCCCTGACCCATCGAGGGCAGGCACTGACTCCACCAGACCTCTGAAGGTATTCTGTGGGGGGCAACGGAGTTCTCTCTGATAAGAAATTTGGGGGGAACTGAGTTCTCTGATAAGAAATTTGGGGGGAACTGAGTTCTCGATAAAAAATTTGGGGGGAACTGAGTACTCTGATAAGAAATTTGGGGGAGCTGAGTACTCTGATAAGAAATTTGGGGGAACTGAGTACTCTGAATTATAAGGGGGGCTGCTAAGGACTCTGGGAAAGGGGAACTTCTAATATGATGGGGGACTCTGAGGTAAAAGGGGACCCCATCTTAGGGGTGCCTCAAGATTTTGCATAATTTCAAAGGGTGTCATGAAGAAAGAAAGGTTGGGACATTTCTAGGGACAGGGTCTTTTTACGAGAAAAGGTCCTGGACAGTAACAAGTCAGCAGTGTCACAGAACAGCGATGTTTGGGGGTCAGGGTGTCATTTATAATGTACAGCGCTGAGCACACTGTTGGCACTATATAAATCCTGTATAATAATAATAATAATTACTACATGCAGAATGAGGCGGTGACATCACTGGGGGTAACAGCTGTCCCTATTGGCACACACATAACCTCCTTCATTGTCTCACCGTCGCCCCCCTCTGTGGACTGTCAGTGACAGCAGGCACTCTCCATAGAACACACAGGTGCTGATGAAACCTCCCGGCCGGAGTATATTAAAGATTAACGAGAATCTTCATCCCTTGAAAGAATGACATTGCTGATAATTGATTCTGTATTGATAGAGGTGTCCTGAATTTGTCATCCTAATTAAATATTGTCTCGCTGTGTCCATAGGAGATACCTGATCCCATTTCCTTTCCATCATCCCTACATACATTAGTGAGGCCGATGATTACAGACAGTCCTACTTAGATCTTGTACCGGATCCATGAGAACAAGCTGGAATGTCCATTAGAAATGAGTGAGGGATAGGCAATAATCATGTAATATACAGTATATACAATGCAGGGAATGTTGTGTAGAATTTGTTTGGCACTTGATAAACTTATTGCAGGTTTTTTGCACCAACAATCATGTGCAGGGTAGCCATCAGAAAATTTCTGGGCCCTTACACAGCTGTTGGCCTGGGCCCCCCCGGGCCTGACCACCAACATTCCCCAGGGCCCGCCTGCTGGCCATCCCACTGAGTCCTTCGGTGCACCCAC